AAAGCCTTACTGAAACCTGGCTTCATTTCTGAAAGCAACAAAAGTACGCTTTCCAAAGAGTTTGGAATTACTTTAGTTTCTCCTTACGTGAGAGTAAACACCAGACCGCAAACGTCTGCCTTACATGAATTGAGAGTTTACTATTTTAAGTATACCTTTACTGTGTTGTTTGAGGATTTTGCGTCACTAAAATAAAATACAGTAATAGACGAAAGCAACTCATGACTGGCGATAGTTGTGTAAAACTAACCACTTGCGGTTCTCTCGTTTAGGAAACCCGATGTGATCAGAATTCCGACCACGATCTGTCTTAAATTTTCGTTTTTGTTCCTAACCATTTTGTGCCAGAGCTGCTCTTTGACGCTCCTCTCACCTAAACTACCCGCTTCAAGAAATGGATGAAGACTATGTTTTATGCTGGAAGGCAATTTTCAGGGAAGAACGCAATCTTCCAGAATAAGAAGAGGAGATAGGAAAAAAAAATACAATCGTGAAAAAAGGAGTAAAAATAAGCGAGTGAAATAAAGGACTAAAGTATAAAAGGGTCACGCATTGAACGCGCTTTGGTGCAGAACTACCCACCAGATACAGTTTTATTCTCAGTTATTCCGTTCTCCCAATAGAATAAAATGGTCTGATATTGCTTGGTGTCTGTATCTGTTTCTTCTACTGTTGAATAAGAAAACTTTACAAATAGTTTGTGAAGTGCACATGGGTATCTTGCGGATGCGAGGATACACCTCTAACATAAAATTATATATTCATCTTTTGTATCAGCTGCTTTATTCCATCACGCATAATAACACTTAGAAGTAAATAAAAAATCGTGGAGTGGAATTATTTTTATTTATTTATAGTAATTTGCATATCATAATTTGGTAAGTTTATTTAAATGTTACTTTATAACTTTACATCATATCAGATACGTTTTATAAATGCTTTAGCAGCATTTGTTGTACTCAAAGCATAGACTCCAGAATTAATTAATACATTTTATACAAAAATGTAGAATATATTTTTGGTCATAAAGTAAATTAAAATAATGGTCTGGAAATTTTTCTCGACCCGCGAATGTATTTCAATTATGCATTTTTTATAAATACTGAGCAGACATTTAGAGATATAGCGATATTTATTGGTCTTTTACCAACTTCTACTGTCGAGCACAAAATAGGTAGAATAGGTTTATCACCGTATATTTCTATGGCAGACTGAGAAGGGATAACTTTCCATGTAGGTACAATCAGTTAATTTAATTGGCCAATTGACTGTTTAAAGACAATTTTAAGATACTTCAGTATTATGATGTTTTTTTTTTTTTTTTTTTTTTTTTTTTTAATACAGAGTTGGTACTTCAGATCTGTGCTTTGTAGGTTGACTGGATTCACAGCTGCGCAGATCTTATTACTATACAAATGGAGATAAAATAAAGTACGGATTTTAAATCCTATTTTTTTGTACTATTAATTAAATCTGCCTTATATGAATACTTATGTTTGGAACTATTGTATGTCTGAATATTGATTTTGATTGAGTTAAAAAACAGAAATTCCTTTAGATTCTTAAAAATCCTTTAGATTTCAGACAGAAAATAAGTATAAATTTGACCTTTTTCTTTTGAGTTGTTATAATTAATATTGTTTATGCATATTTTGATCAATATTTAGTAAGGAAATTTAAAAACTTAGTTCAAATTCTTGTTTGTAAAGACAATTTTTATTTTGCGAAGAAAAATTTTCATTCTATTAAAAAAAAAAAAAAAAAAATTCAATCCTTCAGCAACTTTTAAATTGTGCATTTAGCCCACATGCAATTTGAGCTAGGCCACTGAATTAAAATATACTTGTATGGTACTAGAAAGAATTTATATATTCTTTCCAAAATTTAAGCAATTTAATGCGCATAAGGAATTAATAATTTATTTAAATTACTGTAAATGTTTATAATATTTGGATCTATGACTGTAATGCCATTTTCAGTATTGTAATGCTAGGCATTGTTTTTATTTATTTATTTCCTTATTTGTTGAATTCTATATAATAATTTTAAGGTTTATTTTTTATTTAATTGCATTCCGGGCCCATGTGCTGGGTGTTTATAAATAAATGGTGCAATTTTAAAAATTGATAATAAATCCAAGTATTAATTTGCATGGACAAACCTTACAGCACAAGCAGCGGCAATTGTCTAAATTGCTGATGCATTAATTACAATCCTTCAAAATGTGCACCCTTGGTCACACGATACACATCTATCTACACGGTAATGAAATTCTTCCCATACTCAATGTAACATATCCGTCGTGATGGTCCGTAGTACATGCTTCATCCGATCACACACTTCCCTAAGGGACACGGATATTGGCAGTGCATAAACGGGGTCTTTAACAAGCCCTTAAAGAAAGAAATCGCATGATTTTAAATCCAGTGAACTAGGTGGTAAGGGAAGAAGGTTGCTGTCTTCTGTTGCAGCACGTCGACGAGTCCAGAGTAAGTAACGAATACGATTAAGAGGATCTCGTACATTCTTGTGAAAATGGAGCGGAGCAAAGTCCAGATGCAAAATGTAATAATTATAATTGATGTTCAGCTGAGGTAACAACCAGGTTTCCAACATCACTAGTTGAGTTTTCGGTCACAATTTTTACTCAAAGATAAATGGGTCCTGCACTGATTTGCGTAACACTGCACAAAAGACGTTCAATTTTGGAAAGTCAGGCTGATGCTGAACCCGTGTATGCGATTTTTCTCTTCCCCAGATACGAAAATTGTATGTGTTGACCTTGCCACATACATGAAACGTCGCTTCATCGCAGAAGATGAGTATTTCTACAAAACCATTTTCTTCAATTTTTAACTGAATCTTTTCTCAAAAGTCACATCTTTTCACTTTGTCTGCTAGTGCTGCACTAATCCCACTTTGTGCGGTTTAAAACATATTTACTTATGCAACACCTTTCACTCTGTTTTCTTAGGCATGTACAATTCCCTAATTGCTTTACTAAGTGACTTATAAGGACTTCGCTGAAACACTTCACGCACTCTTTCAACATTTCCATCTGACACAGGAGATTGACCAGAACTTTGCCTTCACAAAGGCATTCAGTTTTCACGAACTGATAGTACCCTCTGCTTGTGTTATTCTTGTGTGGCGGGTCTTCCCTAAACGAACGGCGCGGATTCGTAACGGGTCTTTCGTGTACGAATCCCACGTTGCACTATAACCACATATCTGGACACCTCAAAATGGGGCATACAGAAAGCTTATGCATGTTGCGATGCCGCCTTGGAAACTGATGCTGCGGTTGCGCAGTAAGTACAATAAGCAAAGAGCAGGTATGGTATTGAGAAACTCAGACAGGTGCCAATGCTTACAGTGTAGATTTTAACACGAGTAAAATAATATATCAATTAATTATCAGTTTTAAAACCGCATCATTCATTTATAAACCCCGTGTATTTTAGAGGCCATTACACATTTCATCCATAGAGTTGCGATCTTATGATTCTGAATCCATCAACGATTAAATTGCAAAAATAACTCAATAAGAAGATGAGTCATGGGCAAAAACATTCTTGACCAGCTTTACAAAAATGTTTTAGGCGATTTCCAATCAACTTGGCGATTTTTCCAAAGTTTCGGAAAAAACGCGTTTTCAAAGACGCAGCAGTGATGTTTCCTGAAGTATCGAAGAAACGGAAAAATTCTATATAGATACAACTCTAATAGATAGAAGTCCGTTTAGTTCTGTGACACTCCAGAGACTTCAGTTTTTTAGTTTAAAGAACTGATTGTTTTAGAGTTCATAGTTTAGAGTAAGTGTTATTCGAAACGTGACATATTTCTTACGTATAAAAGGAAATTTGTATCTATCTGGTGAGCGATTATTTATTTTACAATGTATTGTTATTAATTGAAATAAACTGACAATTTATTTCTGTTCATGTAATAATTATTGAAGAAATCTGCAAGAATAAGTCTTCCCTTATCGAGAATGAGATGTATTAAAATGGAACCTGTTTAAAGGATGAATTCTCATGCTTTAAAAAGCAAGAGTATTTCAAGTAAATTATTTATCTTTTAACAATACATTACTTTAAGCAATCTGAGATTTACTCTAAAGCATTTATTGTTTTATTTCGACATTAGAACATATTTCATCAGCAAAACTAACAGAAAATATGGGGTACACCCTCGGAGATACCCGAGCGAAATTTTCGACAATTTAATCAGAAACAAATTACTTTGTTGTTTCAGATTTTTTTTCTCAACTGTTAACCGAGCTGAATTGAGCAGTAGCTTTGCAAACTCCGTCAAACAGATATTTCATATCTGAGAGTAGTAACACTAATTTTAAACCAATTTGAGCATATAATGTCATATACGATATGAAACAACTGAATTAAAATTTATTTACCTGATTTTTATCTGTGTAATTATTTGAGGCTTTATGTACCGAAAACCAAGTAAAGAAATTTTACTAAATAGTTGTAAATACTAAAATTAGAACAGTTCAGGCTCATTTATGTATATTACATAAATGCTATTTCTTGTTTATGCATATGGAAAGAGGATTACAAGCAATAACAATAGAAAAGGAACGTTTTTAAGGGTGTGTTCGATGTGAAACACTATAGGACTTTAGAATGGGCACGTCTTCTCCTCCAGTTCTCGTTGACATGGTTATGAGTCACGGTTTGGGCTCATAACCATAGCCACGACAGCTTCTGGTAAAAGGTCGAATCTTCTAATTAGCTAACATCTCTAAATTTTTTCTGTGATGTGATAACGATACAAGTTACGATCGCTAAGGAGAGGGTCGCTATGACCTTCTAAAATAACAGGCTGTAATAATACAGTTGTTGCCAATGAAATTGTAACTAAGCCCTTGCAAATCAACTGAAAATTTCTACTAAATCATAAAAAAAGCAATTACGATTTAACTTGCTAGGAAAACATAATATATATGAAAACTAATATTACAGTGAATATTTACTTACACAATACATTGATTTCTGCGTAGTTCGTGGCATTGCCCCTGCCTATGTCATTGGCGAGTAAGCAGGAGTAGAATCCCCGATCTTCTTTTTGAACGTTTCGGATCGTGAGGGCAGGGTAGCCTTGCATACTCATCTCATACTTGTCTTGCGTGGGAACAGCGAGAAGTTCACCTTCATGGAACCACAGGACATCCGTTACATTGAAGGGGTTGGCTTCGTAAGTGCAGTAGATGATAGCGCTGTCGGATTCGTTGACGATGACGCCGTTAACAGGTTGCATGACCACAGCCGGTGGATCTGAGGTGGAAAAAAAAAGATCCATTCTGAGAATAAATATGTGGTAACTTTTTGAACGTGCTAACAACGATTGGTCTATGTTAATCACCTTACTTTAAATCGAATATACCCCTAATTGCAATTTAAATGAAATGTTTACATTTGTCGTGTCCGAGTTTAGAAAGAATAGGAGAAAGTTTCTTCGCCGAATAAATCATACTTATAGCCACTGGATTTTGATTCGGATTATTTAAATCACCTATCTACGTTTAAATTTATTTAAATCAGCTATCTACGTTTAGGTAGATAGCTGCTACTGTAATAAGTAGCATCTATCTACCTAAACGAGAGGGCTGCCTTTCTGGATGTTTGTTCAAGAAAAGTGTTTAGTTTAGTTAGTTTGCGATTAGTTTGTTTTGGATTGGCTTAGTTGATTAGGGTAGAGCACACTAGGGATATCTGCTTAGGGGAAGGGATGGCTTCACGGAGGACATTCTTAGGAAAACTGGCTCGTATGCACTTTAACCACGTGGGAAACCACATGGGTAAAGCAGCCAGCCGTTCGCCTGAAAATACGAAACTACCAGTTTTCAGCGACTTTACCACTTGACCTTTATTGGGTCACAAAATAAAATGGATAGCAGTAGTGATTCTGCCTTGTTAAACGACTACGCTAGGTGCTGGGTGCCATAATGTAAGGCAAAGTGTGGAGGTAACTCGCAAATGTAATTTTTTCCATTACAAGCTGACCATAAAGTTTATTATAGAATATAAGTTTGGTATGTAAAATATAAGTTTCATATAGGGAAAAAGATAACGGTCTGGTAAAGGCGAAAATAACATAGTATTTTTGGAATCTGTAATAATAGTTGCATAAATTTATAGATAGGATAATAGAAAACGTTCTTTTAATATCTGATGCATTCACACACGCTCATAAACTCGATGTAAAAGAAATTCAAATATAAATAGACTTCTTTCTTAATTTTTACGAGTTTCAGTAATACTTTATTTAAAATTTAATGGTTTTTTTGTGAGCTACTATAAGGACATGCTACTAATTGATTTTGTCATGCTGTAGTTCTTGTTCATCTCAAGCCTAATGCTGCGACAAATGTAAAACAAATTCGATATTTGTTCTTATTAAAATGGGTCGTTATTTGGGGTACTTTTAGCTGCCCTGTTACTTTGATATTTCTCTCAGGAAGGATGCTGTAATTGAAGATTCTTGACGTTCGGCATCTTAATTCAACCCACTACCTAATTGCACATGAAATTTTCAAGTCGAACAGTAGCTGATGCTAGCACAATATATGTATATGTAAAAAAAAAAAAACAGCGTGGAGCTTAACATTATTAACCAAGTAAATACCAGGAAAGAAATCAGTTTAACATAAATGTAACTCAGTTTACTTCATAAAATATTTCACGAAGATACTTCTCACGAATATAAGAAGATTGTTGGTAGACTTCAAGAACTGTGTTGGAATTAAACAAACAGGCAAGTATTGCGATCAATAATGAATTATCATTCACAGCTTTGATTATATTTCGTTGTTGATTAAGTAATGAAATATGGCAAAAGAAAGATAGTTTGAATGAAGAAATGAATGTGATTTAATTTATCTGACTTACAGTTTAAAATAAATTACATAAAATACAACTTTAGGTTGTGGAGATACTAGGTAATTTGGAAGCAGGGAAGATGAAAAATTAGCAATCGCCTTCGCCGGGAATTGAACCGCGGACCTCTAGAATACGCGCCCAGAGTGCAGACCAATACACCACGAGGGCATGCTAAGACGGCGGGAGAAATACATTATATACTGCCCCTTTTAAAGGGCGACTGGTGTTTTAGGGGATCCAATCGCCAAATTATGGGGTGTGGAGAATCATCATCCACCACCCTTTTACTTCGGGCGCAAATGTAGAGACATTAGGTATTTTGGAAGCAGGAGACTTGAAAAATTAATAACACCATCGCCTGGAATCAAACCGCGGACCTCTGGAATATGCGCTCAGAACCGCGGACCTCTGGAATATGCAGACCACCACACTGCGAGGCCATGCCATGATGAAGGAGGGAGAAGTACCTTATAAGGTTTTCGGATATATCGAAGATAAAATCGTATGTTGTAATATTCATTTACTGTGCCTTTGTTGTGGTTAAAATACTTCCCGAAGTGAAAAGCAAATTAATATTATTTTTGTAAAATGTATCTCAGAGTTTTTACATATAGAAATAAAATGTGTATTGTAACAATTAGGTCCTTTTTTTATAATATAATCACCTCCTTTTATTTTTTATCTGTTATATTTTAAGAAGTGAAAGGCAGATTGTTTCTATTATGATTATAAGTATGAGTAGCTTAAAAACAAATATGCATATAAATAGATAATTAAATTTTATTTCGATGCAAAATCAGTTCATCTCTTTCAACTCCTTTATATATAAATTAAATCAGTTTTCAAGTATAAGTAAGAGCTGGGTCTGATGTCCCTCTCAATAATAAACTAATCCGTATGTTAAAACACAACGTAAAGGATACATAGCAAAATTTTTAACACTACACAAATTTCTGAATTCATCTGTGGCAATTTATGCTTCAAAATTTTACTATTACAAAGCTACTGTACCTATTACCTTCATGTATTATTCTGTAATTATATGTATGTATTTTATTTATAGTTGAGAGCTATGTAAAAGATGATTTTCACCATAAAAATGGTAACAAGTAAAACTACCTAAAACTATACTAGGAGCATCCATTGTAATTAATAATAAGAATAACGTTCACATACTGGTTTTTGTTTCAGTTTTTAGAATAGCATGCATTTTTTTAGCAATAAAAATCTAACAAGTTGGGTGGATGTGATATGTCAAACAAGCAAAGTTCAGTTTTCCTTCAAGTCAGTACCAAACGAAATCTAAATATTGACAATTTTATTAATTAAGAAACTTTCGGAAATGAAAATATTATATTTATTACGTAGTGCTTATTTATGAACAATTCTGTTTTGGTATATCTTCCAAAATACCCCTAGTTAATCCATCATCTTGCGAGTACATGATTTCCCTCGAGCGGAATTATAGATTAGATTAAGCCATATGGGAATACATATCTTCATCCATCAGAATGATTTCAGAAAATATGGTACCCTTGAACATCTTCTAATAAGGCTATAGGAACTCGGATATGCATAGCTGAACAAACATACCGTCGCTCAAAGATGCGATGGCACGTGAAAGCAATGTCTATCTTAATGTCCTTGCACATTCCATGGAGGTATAGCTATTAAACTTAGTGTTCCCAAGAGATAAGACGACTGCACAGAGGTTGGGATTTTCGTCTAATTAAAACATGTTAGATATCAGCATTCAAACTGTTTCTCAACTCATCAGTAAAGAGGACATTAGCCAACTGCCTGGATTCTCTAACGAATTACGTCTCCAAAAGACTTCATTCCTGGAAAGTCGTGAGAGGAAAATAAACTAATGTTTATAATGCATTGTTATTTCACACTTAATGGTTATTTCGTTTGCTTCCTATTATACTTCACAGTATCTTTATTTTACAAACAACTACACTTGTGGTAATTTTTCAAAAAAATCCAATTTTGCCTTTGTTTGAAATTAACTCCCAAAAGGAATAACTTTTGTTATTTTTTAAAGTTAACTAACTAGCCTATAAGTGCTAAATGTAAGGTACAAGAAATGTACTATTCTTTCTGTTTTATATCAACTTACTGTATTTTGAACATGCAACGAATAACAAAACAGAGCATTTGCAAAATTTGCTATCTGGAATTTCGATTTTCGAGATGATAAAACAGGACGACGCTGTAGTCCTTACAACCTTTAAATATTATATTATTTCTCACATAACAATCTGGGCTTTAACTCTCTCGTTTGCATATATTAATAATTTTCCTCCCATGTGTTATGAACCATTGTCCTCTAGAACTTAATTGATGAAAGTATAAACACTTGCTGATAAGCTTCACTTGACTTGTCTTATCAAATTAACTTACCTATTAATTTACCTGTTGCTAAAACTTAAAATAAATAAATAAGTAAAAACTCCAGCAGAACGTTTTTTATCCAAATAGTAGCGTACGAATTGCCCAGTTACCCAATTATTTCACTTCCGAGGTCAACGAAACATCATGAATATTAGATAGGCTCTTATACGACTCAGATAATAACAATAATAATAATAATAATGAATTTCACACGATGATAAATTTCGAGGGATATGGAAGAAGTTAGAGGATGATAATGGGGCCACTCCAAATACTGTCAAACCGAAAGCAATCTCGATAGCCTGGAGGAAAAGAAAGAGGGGTGAGAGACCTCTGGCATTTTGGATCTATCCAGCCTCGATTCTCTTATCCTATTATCCTGACCTGTTGCCCTTCCTAAATAAAGTTAATTCTGTTGTTATTTTAGTGTTCTTAATTTTTTGATTGATTTTAACACTTAAAAGTGTAAAATGATAAATGAATTCAAAATTTAACTAAGCTAAGTCGTAAACTAGCCAAAGGCTACACAGGAAGAACACTTACAAGTTGGCTCAAACCAATTATTGACATGACAAAATTAATAGCAAGAATAACGCAGCGCCAAAAGCAAACTGCTTTTAACTCTTTCTGGCGCAGTGTGTTCGGTGTGAACACACCAAAAATACTTCCTCTTTAGACACTGAAAATAATCGATAAATATCACGAAAACTACACTAATGGTTACTTTTAATCTCTTTTATGAATAATAGATGGCAGCACCACACAAGCAAATCATTAACGTTGAGATATATTCTGTTTTTAAATACACTGATTTTTCAAAGAAATGTTTCAGATTTTTTTTTAAATATAAAGAATATTAATGAAAAACAAATCTTTTATAATTTTGTGGTTCGTATGCTAATCTGCCTATTCTGCATTACTTTTAATTTTTATCTTTGAAATATTCTGCATAGTGAAGCCTTCAGTGTATGGTGTGTTCGGACTGAACACATTGTTCT